AGATTTCAGAACCAAGTATTAGTAAATGTTCAAATCACAGAGACTAAATGCAGGAGAGAGGTATCTGCTCATTAATCATCAGGACAACTCTGAACAAGTCACTGCCTGTATCTTTCTCCTTCTCTGGGTCCATCTCCTTCTCCTCCTGGTCTGGATCACCTCCTTATAGGATTCTAGACCCTTAGAGAAAGGTGGGCGACAGCTGCCACCTTGTCCTGCTCTCCCACCCAGCTCAGTAATCCGTCCCAGAATACCTCTGACTTCTAGCCTCTACTTAGGCACCTCCAGAGACGTGGAGCTCAGTTTTGGCAAACCTCCGAGATATTGCAGGTTCGGTTCCAGGCTACAGCCATAAAGCAATACAGCGAGTGTCACAGTAAAGCGAGGGTCGCAATCTTTTTGCTGGTGAAGGGTCTTGCCTTCAATTTGTATAAAACACAATGTCTGTGAAGTGCAATAGAGCCCAGCACAATGAAACAAAGTATCCCTGTACTTGTGCCTGAAGACCTTTTCCTCCTTTGTCTGCCTAGGGAACTTCTACTCATTTTTCAACATTTAAATCAGGTGTGCTGTTTCTGTGAGGCCCATGAGGCACAGGCATCTGTGGTTGTAAGTGTGGACTCTGGTCTGAGAGACCTGGGTCCCATCCTTCCTCCTCTACTCACCACACTTGCTATGTGATCTTGGCCAGCTGATCTCACTTCCCTGAGCCTCAGTTTTCTTACCTGTGAAATGGGGGTCACCGATGTGGTCATGTGTATGGGACCTTCAGATGGAGTCTGGCACACAGCAAGTAAGCAAAAAAGGGTACCTGCTACTATTTGTCACTTCAGTGGCTTAGACCCTGACCTGCGCATTAAACTTGCCCACAGCACTCTTGAGACACGACTTAATAGGTCTGGGGTGTTGCTCTGAGCAAGAGATTTTTTAAAAGTTGCCCAAGTGGTTCTAAGGCATAGCCAGGTTGAGAACTCTTCACCAGCAGTTCTAAAACATGGCCCTTGGACCAACAAGGAGCGCTTACATCTCCTGGGAACTTGTTAGAAACTCATATTCCAGGGCCCTTCTATAGACTCACTGAATGAAAACGGTGGTATTTCTACATAGAATGGTACCATCTCCAAATACCACATAGAGAAGATAGGAGACAGAAAGGCTGTCCTAACAAAGATCTTTTGCTAGATTCTAGCTCATCAGTAGCAATATAAGTTAAGAATACTTTCAGGAAATAATTTTTTTCCTTTCTGTTCTTCTTGATACTAGATGGAGTCCTGTAGTTATAGTTTTCCACAAGCTTAGTCCATAAGTATCTAATGATACTGCCTGCTAATATGGCAGGTGCCACAGATATCGAAGTAAATGAAATGAATGAGATCGGTCATAGTAGCATTTTGCACTCATCTGCATAATAATTTCATATGTTCGTTTATTCAGCTGTTGAAATATCTTAAAGTTTGTGCATTTTAGGTCAGTCTTTTTTTTTTTTTTTTTTTTAATGAATTAGAAGAAAGCTCAGACCAGCTCCCAGTTTTCTTGTTTGTGTTAATGGCATTAACATTCCTTTAGGCACCTAGACTAAAATATTTTTTTGTCATCTTTGACTTATTCTTGTCCTTCATTTCTCATATGCAGAAAGCAATTTGTTTGTCTTTTAAAAATTTATTTATTTATTTATTTTTAGAGAGAAAGGAAGGGAAGAAGGAAGAAAGGGAGAGAAGTATCGATGTGGGAGAGAAACATCCATCAGTTGGTTACTTCCTGTATGCCTCCAGCTAAGGACCTAGCCTGCAACCCAGGCTTGTGCCCTGACTGGGAATCAAACTGGCAATCTTTTAGTTTACATTACAATGCCCAACCCACTGAGCCACACCAATCAGGGCTATTTATAAATCTTTGAAAGGCCATTTATACCCATCTTGTACTTCTCATTCTTATAGTAACAATCCCAGTGCGTATATGACAGAGGACCGCCCACCAAAACTGAATTATCTTCTGGAGGGCAGGGTCCTTGTAGTGCAGGGTTCTCCTGCTAAGTGAGTGTTCTATATGCTGTGTTTGGCATCAGTGAATTTTTTTTGAAGACTCAACGCATTTGCCCATTTCATGATGGGTGATTTACGGGTGCACCTGCCCACACTGTGCTGAGCGTTCAGCAGTTTTTGACCAAAAATGGCAATACACCCATGCCCCACCCTTCCTAATCACCCTATTATGCACTGAATGATTTTGTTTTTGTTTCCCTGTGTGAAAAAATCCTCAAAGGAAAATGTTTTGCTAATATGGAAGAGGTGAAACCAAAAACAGCAGAAGCCCTAAGAGGCATCAAAATCGACAAGTTCAAAAACTGTTTGAGCAGCGGGAAAAAAGTCTCAATATGTGTACTGCAACAGTAGAAAGTAATTTGAAGGTGAATGAAGTTTAAATGTATAAGAAGAAATACACAATTTTTAATAAATGAAATCTGTTTATTTGGGTTTCTCCTCATAATACATAGTTATCTGTCTGCTGTCCATCTGTCCATACATCTATTTATCCACTCATCCCTTATGAGTTTCACAGCCCTCTTATTTTCAAAAAGATTTAAAAAGGATAAGTGGAACACAGCAAAACTGAATAAATAAGATTAAAAAGAAAAAGAATAGACCTAAATTCATTGTTCTTACCTTCAGATGCATTAGAATCCGTGGAAACTTTTGAAAAATATGATACTCAGAACAACTCTCAGAGATTTGGACTAACATGGGCTGGAGCTTCCTAGGTGATTTTAATGTGGAGCCAAGATTGAGAACCATAGAATTGAAAATGAAATAGATTTTACCAGCCACTTGATATGAACTGATTGCAACCTTTGAAACCTATGTATGGCAGCAAAGGCATAAAGAGATGTATGGTGGTGTTAAACACATCTCGTTGTCTGACAAAAATTTTTCTCCCCACAGTTAAATTCTAAAAGCAATATTTTTATGTCCTAGTAATGCAACAATAGCTACCTTTTGCTGAATGCTTGCCATGTGCTAAGCATTATGCCAGTTAAATGAATTACCTAAGTCTCACAACATACCTATGATGTGAGCATATTATTAATCTAATATTTCAGGAAACTGGGATCTTGATAAACAAAATAAATTTCTAGCTTTTCAATTTGGGCTATCTAACTGCAGAACCCTGGTTTTTAACAACATTAGTGCACTGCCTCCAATGTGAATACTGGTCAACACCTCCAGTTAAATTGTTGCTAAACCCACAACATGGTAGACAACTGGAGATGCTGGTAAAATAAAGGCTGAAGGTAAATAATTTAACAAGAGCATTTTTCTAATGAGTTTAGACAATATTTTGCTTTCTAATCATCTAACTTATTATATATGGAAACACTGAACTTTGGGTAGAGTGAGTTGTTATCATATCTACTGGGTTTCCTCAAGTCTTCCCCTAGGAGACTCGGGGAGGCCTGGCCTCTCCCCCAGAGCACCAGCAGGGGCTTGGGGGAAAGTGGGATGAAGCATGATGGTAGACTGGGATGAGGCCTAGAAGCAAAAATTGGAAGGAGGGCTAAAAAGCCAGGAAGGGTTCCCTGTCTGAGGTGCTAGGCCTAGACAATGTGAGGAATGTGGGTTGCACTAACAAGAGGACCTTCTGCACTGAAGAGAAGCACAAACAGATGAAGCTGTGTGGTTTCAGAGCCAAGGTCAGAAACATGGGTGTGCCTTTGGTTTGGGAGTGGAAGGAAGGTGTAGATATTTAAAGAGTGAAAGGTAGGTGCTAGGTCACAGGGAACACATGATTATTTTATGTAGCAAAGGCCTAAAGTGGAAATACTTCATGTTGTTGAGTAAAGTGAGAACTGTAGGCTTTCTATACCATCTCCAAGCGGTCATTCTTCTGTTAAAGGACCTGGACTGCCGCCTTGAGACCAGTCTCATCTCACTCTAATCAGTGTTCCCCAAAAGCTTCAGAATGATGGGTTTTATATACTCTGTTAGCGCGTCTTAGCTCAACAGTTGTAACAGGCACTCTACCGCCTACTTCAAATCCATACTCCCAATTGGACTTCATTTTTTCTTCCCAAGATTGTCCCTCCACGTCTTCTACATATTCCTATCACATTGCTCAGGTTTGCTTACTGCTCCACAGATGATGATGGTGTGGGTTAAATCTGTTGCACATGCACTAGTCCTGACTTCTCAATGCGATTGTGAGTCCTTTGAGGGAAAGGGCTTATGTCTTTAACACTTATTTCTTTTCAGTACCTAGTGCTAAGCATATAGTAAATGGTCAATGCTGCACTTAGCTCAGTTATAGTTTACCCTTATCAGTGCTTGCAACAGCACCAGCCACAATGAGATATTTATTAAGGGTTGTTGTATTGAGATATTGATCATCTCAGATTCAGAAGTGTGTTCTTTGTAAACACAGCATTGAAAATAATCTCTCATGATACCAAGGCGTAATGAAGTTTCAAAGGTCTGAGTTGGAATGCCAGCCCTCTCACGTACTAACTGCGTGATGCTGAGCAGGGCACTGTGAGCTGCGGTTTCCTCACTGTAGAGGAAAGGTGATCGCGGGGACCTAAAGTGGTTGGGAGGACTACGTCACACACCGAACGGAAATTGTCTGTCATGGGAAAGAGCTATCGCAGGCACTCAGTAAGTGAATTCTATTACAGAAAATTGAAAACCCCTATCACTTTTTATTGTATTTTATTTCTATTTCTCCTTTATTCAGACCAGAAAGATAATTTTAAATTTTCTTTACACTTTCTTGAGGTTAGCTATATATGCTAATGAAAAGTTAGTAGACATCATATTAACAAATAATTTCTGATTTATTTGGTAATTATCTAGATCATAAAAAATAGTAAAACAAGACAAATTACTTTCAACTTTGGGCTGGCAATCAGGAGAAGGAGGAAGGGCAGGCGAGAGATTCCTTAGATTGCTGGTGGACTTTGCTTCAGGACAGGTGTGGCTGAAAGCAGACTACTGTGAATTAACCAGGAGTCAGAACATCAAGATCAAACTTTATTTCACCCAGAAACAGAGTGATAAAATGGCATTCTTCTCAGTTGCATTCTCTCCCACATTCTTGTCCTTCCACACAGGGCTGCTGACAGGTTGGCTGTTGGGGCTATTGTGCCAGGCATGGAGATTCTGCCCACTGGTTAAGAGACTTCACTCTGAGACGTTGGCTCTGCCCCTGCCTCCAGAGGTCGGCCCTTGTATTCGCAATAACTTAGTTCCTTCTGTAAGTATAGTAAAGTCCCATTAATCTGATGTTATCATTCATTACGAGAAGAGTGAAACACCAGTTGACAAAATGAGACTTTTTCCTAACATCGATGGTTCTTTATTGGAAAGTTCAGCTAATATTTGAAATGAAACAAACACTCAGAGACTCACATCATCCCATAAATGGAAGAAACAGTGAAACATGCATCCAGAGGCAACTGTGTTGACTAAAGCCCTACGTTGTTTCCCCAGGCAAAACGCAGCAAGGATTATAAAGTATGTGCCTCCCTCACATTAAAGCAATGAAAGACAATCATGTGCTTTTTTGCAAAAACCAGCACTTTCCAATGTTGTAGAAAAAGATGATGTGGTGGAAAAGTGTGGGTAGAGAGGCAATTCCTCCTGAAATTTCTGAACAAATGTTGTACCACATCTCATGGTATTCCCTTGTCAATTATATAAAAAAAAAGATTTCCTTCGCGAGCCTGCCTCTACACTACTTCCTCTGCTTTCCATTCTTACGGTTCATCTCACAGCTGCTGAAAACTAAGGATTACTCCTTCTGGCCTCAGCAACAAGTAAACAAACAGAAAATTCCTCTTTGAAAGCCTTGTCGCAAAGAGTAGTTAATGAGGACACAGAAATTATTGATTTAGGAGAAACACTCTCACTCAGAAAGAGAATTATGAGAATAACTGTCAAGTGGGAGTGACTATTTGCTATAACTAGCCCCTTTGGGAAACAGGAAGTCAATTAGTTTACTTCCCCGTGTCCTCCCTGTGACCAATGTTTTCTTGTTTGTTCCTCCTTGACTTCTAGTGGTTTTTATTACTATTTTCCCCTACTCAGAAGTTCAGCATTCTGCCTCTTGACTTTCCTTTACTTCACTGGTGTTCGGGGATCAGCTGCCACAGTGTTTTCAAAATGGCAAGATTCTTTGTATGAAGATCGGTATCATTCTATGGTACACGTTATTAGAAAGGCAAATTGCGGTAGGACACAAGGCACATTCGTTTGCCCATTGTCTGTGCTAGTTAAGAAAACTTGTGAGGAGGACTCAGAAAGGGTCTAGAATCCCGCACGCGGTTTTATGCTGTCCATCGGAACTGATGGTGTCCCCACTGGGAGTCTCACCACTTCTCTCTAGGCTGTTCTGAAGCTCCATGGTTTTTGGTGCGTTATAATGGGATATTTGGACAACGGGGAGAGGGGGCGATACAGTGTTAAAGAAACCCCCATGGCTGCGTACATTAATAAAAAGCATCAGAGAGATCGAAATCATGAAAGTCTTTCCTTTCCACAGTTGGATTCATTCCATTAAGTGGCTTCCAGGGGCGTCCAGGACATTTGGGGGAGTTTGTTTCTGGAAAATCAGGTATCAGTTTAAACGAAAGGATATTTGGCTCTATCTGGACTTCAGGGATCCAGGCATCATCATTCTGTGTGGGAGTTGGTGGTATACTAGTCATCAGAGCTGCAATGAGATCTAAGTCCTGAAAGTCAGAAAAGGTAACTGCTACACCTGGCTGGGCTAGGGAAGGGAGGCGCGTTGGCCTTCCTGTCTTTTCGTGTATCTGTGCAGATGTAGTACTATCTTCAGAAGAACTTGCCCAATGCATTGTTCTCCGATCATTGTGCCTCCCATGCTTTTTTTCTTTATGTTTACGTTTTCCATGGCCGCGACCATGCTCATATTAATGTCCATGGGCTTGGCCATTTTCCCATTGATGTCCATGACCAAGTCCATATCTCTCTTGATGTTCAAGATCATAGTCAAGTTCCCTTAGTAACCATGGCCACGTTGCTGTTGATGTCCATGGCCAAGACCATGTCTCCTTTGGTGACCATGGCCTTGGTCATGCTCATGTTTACGGCCAAGGCCAAGGCCATGTTTTGTTTGCTTTCCATGGCCCCAGCCATGTTCCCGAGTAGGTCCTTGTTCTTTTTCTGAATCCTGCTCTTCATCTTGTATAGGTGCCATGGAAGTGTGGGGTGGACTTACTGTTGCTACAGCCTTTGTTTCCGCCACTTGTACTGCTCGGAAAGGTGAAAAACCTGGAGGTCTTTTCATCATTGTGGTCTAAATAGGAAATATTAAGATGAATGCATTATTTTGAAATCACACTATCAATGAAGTTTGAAGGGACTCAAGCCTGGCATTGCTATCTTGGTTAACAATGGAGCAAGTCCTTGCCAGGTTTTAAACACTACATTAATGTTGCAGAAAGGATGAGAATGTGTATCTTTTCTTTTGATTGTTTTTATAATTTGTGGATATTGATTATTGTTCTTAATAATATTTTGCTAAGCTGGAGTATTTTCTTCATCTGAAATATTTGGAAGGTTGAACTACATAATCTCTAGGGTTCCTTCTAAGCCTATGATTATGTAAAGCCATGGCACATTATTTATTAATTGATATTATATCTATTGGCACAATTACTGTTTTTATTTAAATTTTTCTTAAATTTTATTTATTTTTAGAGAGAGGGATATGGATGGAGAATGAGAGGGACAGAAACACTAAGGTGTGGTTGCCTCTTACACACCCCCTAGTGGGGATGTGGCCTGCAACCCAGACTTGTGCCCTGACTGGGAATTGAACTGGAAACCCTTTGGTTTGCAGGCCAGCGCTAGTCCACTGAGTCACACCTGCCATGGCACTGCTTTTATTTTAAAAGGCTCTAAATGGCTTTAAGAACTGCATATACATGAAGTAGATATCCACAGTCACTTTGTCGGGCTGAAACACATTAGAACATGTTCACAAACTTGAAACGCAGCCTTTGTATAATGTTTGCGTTAGACTACATACATGCCTACACTTAGCAAAAACCTAAATCAGAAAAAAGGGAGAAGAGGCAACTTCCACGGAAGATACGGGTTATTTCTTCCTGCACTTTCACTGGTAGCAAGAACATGGTGGCTGGAGGCAGTGTTCCGTGGTGCAAAGAGCATGGTCTTTAGAGTCAAACAAGCCAGACCCTAGTTATCAGCATCATGTGAACGTGAAGGGCTCTGATTTGATCTAGACTTGCATCTCAGTGCCACTAGCTTCACTTTTCCCATCCCTAAAAAAGGAATACCAACAATCTCATAGAGCTGGGAGGAGAAAAATAAGTGTGAAATCCTCAGCACAGTGCCTGGGACACAGGAAGCACTTGTTGATGATATCAGTCTCTCTAGGATCTCAGCATCTTTGTAATTTTTGGCGTCTCGCTCTTGACAATAGGAAAAGTATTACTTACCTGCAAGGGTCTCTTAAGAGTTAGAAACTAATGCTTCTCAGACTTGAACGTGGGTATGCATCCCCTGGGGATCATGTTAAAATGCAGGTGCGGATCCAGCAATGTGGAGTGGAGTCTGGGATCTGCACTTCTCCCAAGCTCCTTGCATGTAAGCAGATGCCAAAGGAGCATCTCAGGCACACCTTGAAGCTGCATAGCTAGTGTCAGCTGTCCTCAGCAGGGGCTGCGCTTCACTAAGAGAGAGCCTGCTGAAGCATCGAACACTGACAATGTGTGGTAAGTGACTAAGGGGACTGCTCTTTTCCCTTCTAGTCATCAAAAAGAGAGGCCAGCAAGGAAATGTGAGAGTTCTCCCCGTTTTAAAATTGTCCTCCAATATATTTAAATAATGGTTCATTTTTAACCCCAAAATAGAGCTTTTCAGAATGATCAAAATTTAACCAAGGTGACTGCAATTAGAATCATACCTTTCCTAATGTTTGACAGTTGACTGTAGGGTAAATTTTTTTCTCCCAAGGTACCACAATAACATCAGCAGTGCAGTCTAGAATTTCCTATCCATGAAAACAAAAGCCAAAAGAGAAAACAGTGTTATCCATGAAACACTTAAACAAATTTAAAACATCAAGTAGATTTCCAGAGAATAAGTAGAGAGTTGCATTACTACGCACTCCAAGTAAATTGATCTCGCAGTCTTCAGTCAACTCTTTATCACTCTCCTTGGAACATTTAGTTTCCCTGGCCATGAACTCAATAGAATATCTTTTTCCAGCCACCACCTGGAAAATAAATTAGCACAAAATAGCCACTTAATTAATATTGCATAATAAATAGTATGTTTTTACCCTAAGGAAACTGAGGGGAGAATATTAAAATTTTAATTACACGCTGACCAGTTGAGAGTTATACAGAAAAAGCACAGATGTTTGACAACTAAACTTTTAATTTGTATGCCTGTGCGAAATATTTGGCTATTGGTTTGTCTTGTCTCCTTTCCTACATAGGAAAAGAAAGAGCAGGCTATAATTTTTGTTTTTATACTTTTCTGAGTTTTATTGTTCAATAGCTGAAAAATTTATTTGTCATTCAAGTGTTCTAATCAAAATGAAGATGAGTAGGAAGAAAAATTTAAACATTTTCTTTAAGTCTGCCTTAGTGTCCTGCCAAATATTGAAACAGAGAAATATTGAGTTAATGTCACTATAGAAGTTATGTGGGTTAAATTATGTGATTAGGACAATTATTGGGTTGGCCTGGAGTTCATTTTTTTCCTGTAAGTTGGCTCTAATATTGCTAAGTTGTCTTTACCATCATTCATAATTTTGTCAGATTGCATTATGACAGCTGTCACATCAGCATTCCTTAAAAAAACTTATCAAAATTGGTGAATTTTTGTGTAGTCATTTTCATATTAAAGATGGAAGAAAATAAGAAATATTTCTGCATATTATGCTTTATTGGTTCAAGAAAGGTAAAAATGCAACTGAAATGGAAAAATGATTTCTGCAGTGTATGGAGAAGGTGCTGTGACTAATCGAACATGTCAAAAATTGTTTGCAAAGTTTCATGCTGGAGAGTTCTCACAGGACGATGCTCCATGGTTGGTAAAACAGTTGAAGTTGATAGTGATCAAATCAAGACATTTAATTAAGAAAAATCAACTTATACCATGGGGGAGATAGCTGACATACTCAAAATATCTAAATTAATAAAGTTATTGTTAAAAATGAAAAATGTGTATTTTTATTTTACAGGGAAAACCACACGAACTTCTTAGCCAACTCCATATTTTGATTTTCTAGCTGATTCTCCTAAGTTTCTGTATATTTAGAAACCATTTCTAGCTCTAGCAATAGTTTTAGTCATTACAGTGCTGTCTCCATAATTAACATTTTATGGTCCAATTTATTTATTTATTTTTATCTGGAAGAGGCACAATTTATTATTAAAAATATTAAACTCATGCTTTTTAAAGTCCTTTGACTACAACAAAATCCCTAGTTTTTATAAAGTCATTTTAAAATGCCACATTTTATATCTCTTACAATTGAAAAATATACTTAGTAAAAATTATTTTAAATTATATGTTAAAAAGTTAGTTGATATGGCCCAATTTCTAGTCCAAGTTATACAATACTTAATTCTAGGATTTAAAAATGTGTGTGTTTGTGTATGTTTGTGTAGTATTATATACTTGTCAAACCAGAATGTATCAATATATCTATTGACCTGGGGAGATGACCGTTATTTTAGAAAAATAAAATCGCAGGGTCAGGATATAACCTCATTTGAAATGACAACCACAGCAGTCTTCCCTGTCTCTTTGTGTTTTTTAAAAGCATGGAGAAAGTGTGGTGGGAGGAGGAACAGAGGAGCAAGGGAACAGAGTCACAGGAAGACCCACGCTCCTCTCTGGAGTTGTTTTGCTGTGAATCATGGTTAACGTTTTAATAGTTAACTTTTAAAACTCCAAGTGTGTGTGTGTAAATGGGGGGAAAGGCTCTAGGAGAGTTGCAGAGTCTATATTTTTGTGATTGTAAGTTTTCTGGCTCATTTCAGAATACATCTTAATCCAATTTTTACAACAATAATGTTGATCTAGGTAATGTTGCCTAAGAAACTTAACAACATGTGACACAACATGTGACACAAACTGCAACTGATGGCTCAACTCTATTCAAGGTCCAGAAGAGGGAATCAAGTCAATGTAAATCTTCTGTTTTAGGGCCTTAAGATCACATCCATAATGCCATTATTATCAAGTGTAATTTTTTATCAGAAGTCTTCCTGCTTAAATCATCCTGCTCAAGTGTTGTTTTTCAAGTAGAGAATACCATACAGAAAAATAAATTTTAAATGCATTAAAAATTTAAATAAATAAATATTCTCAAACTATATATTCATTGGATTTGAGGATGAGGAAGGCTGTTCTTAGGTGATAAAGAGTAGAAGGAAATCTAGAGGAAAATATGTCTAAATTTGTCCAGACAAAAATGAAAACTGATTCTAAAAATCATAGCAAACAAAGTAAAAAGACAACAGGAAAAATTTGTTAGAGGATTAATATTCTTATGCATATAAAGCTGAACAGTAAAAAATAAACAAAAGGCATGAACAGGTATTTTGAAAACTAAGTAAAAGTGGTCATTAAGCCTGAAAAAAAAGTTTACCTTTGTTGATAACCAAAGATATGTACATTAAAAAAGCAATGAAACAGCATTTTTAATCTGTCATATATTGGCAAAGGTGAAAATCAGCAATGATACTTGGTATTGGGTGCGCATGCGGCGCATTCAGCCTTAATCACTGTTGGTAGGAATAGAACTCCAATCAAGGTGACCAATGTCTTATACCCAGGTGGTATGAATGTAAATTGGCATAATTGCAAATAGTTTGGTGATATGCATCACAAGTCTTGACATAGAGATAAGCCATCATATTTCCAGTACTTCCTTTTTTAAAAAAATATGAATATGTACATACTCTTGAACTATAATCATCTGAGCAAAGACAGGGAGCAATATGAGCAACAGCAAGGACAGGGGCAGTAGAGCTAGGGCAAAATAAATGGTCTGTGACAGACATTGCAATTATTCACATGTGCGAACAGAGGATTTAAGAAATATTTGGTATATGAAATATGAAACCAACTTGAAATAGACATGCATCCAAATAGGACTCAATATGCAAAGCCAACACAAAACTAAATCTGTAACATAAATCCTTAGCAATTTGGAGATTGGCTTTTGGCAAATTCATCATATGGTAAATGGATTTCCAGTTGCTTGGCTACTTCCATCAGGGCTTCCTCGAATGACCATGTCAGACAGCCAAATTGCTCTCTTTAAATGCAAGAATCAGTGCAGATTCATCTCATGAGAAAGTTTGAGATTCTCACGTAGTCCAGATTTGGTAAGTGAAGGAATGTCAGTTCCCTTCAATTCACAGCATTACCTGTCGTGTCGTTGCTCCCCTGGCATCACACACGCACACACGCATACACATCCATGTGCTAGAAGGTGGATTAGTTCATTTACAGAGAGCTCTAAGTACTAAGAGGATAGACAGCCATGTTTGAGAGTGAGTCGTTCTCTCCTGACAGCAAACCTCTGACATGCAATGTACAGCGGAGTACTAGACTATTCCTGCATCATGAAGAATAAGAGAATTTCACAAGAAAGCAGAAGAAAAGCCAACAAACCCAAGAGTAGCCTGCATGGGTGTACCCTGTGAGAAGCCTGACGTGGATCAAGTGCCAGGGAAATGAGGGAGAAAAGGTTGTGGTGTTTGGGACAGGAATCAGAGCCTGAGTAGGAGAGAGGGCAGAGTGTCATTTTTGAGTATTTTAATGCCATTTGCTTTTCTTTTTCCCCAGTAGCACGACTACTACAGGAAATTAGAAGATGAAACTCAACAGCCCATTGTGCCATCACCTAAAGCCACCACTGTGCATAGCTGGAGGCATTTGTGTCTTTTCAGCAGGAGTTTCTGTAGTGTTTTATAACACAATTGACAACAGAATGTACATTCAGTTGATGGCCGTTTTTATTTTGTTCACTGTATGTTTAACACAAGGCGTTTACCACATCAAGAAAGCCTCACAAAGATGCTTTATGATTGCAGCTTGATATTCTAGTCTACATTATTAATCAATTTGATAGTTCATCATTTCTTCTTTTATAGTTAGTGCTGCAATGAATATCATTGTCTATAAAGACTCTGTTTTAGATTTCTAGAAATTCAATTACTGAGCCAAAAATGTGAGCATTTTTGGGAGAAGGTGTCTTTTTCCCCTTTCAGATTACAAAGCATGTTGGTTTGCTCTAAGATTTTCATTCTATTTTGATTACTTTTCTTTAGCTCATAATTAGGGGGGCCAGGTTTGAAGTTTATAATAGGAATGTGTCCTTGAATAGAGGAGTCCTACAACGTTGGAGTTGGAAGCCGTTTGGACTTGTCTCACCCAGCCACTCAGTGTCCACACGGGAGCACAGAGACTGAGAGAGTGCGAATGACTGCGCAGGGCTGCCCCTCAGGACACGAGGGGCAGATACTGCGCTAGAACTGGGCCTCCGGACCCCCAGGCAGGGCTCTTCTTGTCCTCTGCTAGCAGGGCATGCAAGGGAAGACGAATCCTCAGAGGGAACATGTGTGGGCTGGAAGGACACCCAGGCAGGGGGGAAATGACATGGAGGGGAGAGAGTGAAGAGTCTGGGTGATGACAGACTGACCGATGTGGCTGAGCCCAAGGCCCTAAGTGATGCTATGTAAGAAACGAGACAGGAAAGGCAGCGCGTAAGTCCTGCTCTTCGTAGAAAAAGCCCTACCTTTTATTAATTATGTAATAGTTGCTAGAGTTTATATAACACTTTCGAGTTTGAAAAGATAGTGTACTGACATATATTATCTTATTTGATCCTCACACCTGTCCTTTACAGACAGAAAATGAATAGAATGTCCTCAATGATTTGTCCAAGATCACACAGCAAGCATGCACTGAGGCTGGGACTTGAAATTCAACTTCCTTTCATGAGGTATAATACTGTTTCCCAACCCAGAGCCAAGATTCCTGGCATATTAGTAAACAATTTGCACACAGACTACAATATCACTGTTTTTATAGCATAATTTACACACCTGTACTGTTGCTTTCTTCACAGTATCAATCTTGAAATAGAAAGTTCCGTTATTCTCTGCATTAAGCTTTGCGATGGAATGATTCAGGTGCTCCGCCAGCTCTGGGCTGTCCACAGGTATCTTTTTGGGGCAGCCACGGCAAATTATGGTAGGTAGTGGTATAAAATCCTCCCCTGAAAGAATCAGGTTTTCAGTCAGCATGCGGCAGAAGGAGCAGTCTAGCTCAGGACCTCTTCTGCACATGGTCCAGCATCCAGCACGCATTTACAGAGGGCCATGTGGCAGCCCCAAAGCCCAGTAGCGAGTGGGTGGAGGTTGTCTTTCTCACCCTCCTCTTACTGCCTGGCCTCCTCTCCTCTCCTCAGAGTCAAGTGTATTTAGGGAAACCTTCAATTGGTAGGTGTTAGTTTGTGACTCAATCAATATGCTGCATTTTTTCTAAGTTTTTGCATTTTTGATAGAAAATGTAAAAAAACAATTTTTAATGTAAAAGGAATGACTGTCTAGTGGGAAAATTGTAAGTCCTATGATTCTGGTGATCGGGCAGCTTCAGTGATGTTTCTCATTGTGGAAGTTAAGCAAATATCTTCCAAGTATGAGAAAAACCAATACTTGGTATAAGTAATACTGGCTTCACCGTAAACTAACATTATCTCTCTTATCCCCTGTTATAACATGCAGGAAAAATAGTCTTAAATTGAAAGGATTTTATCCTACATGATTAAAAATGATATACTGTTTCCCCAATTCACAGCACATGAGAGGAACATCTTATTCATAAGGAAGACCAGATGACATTGTATCTGGAGGCCAGCTTTGCCCAAGGAGCATAAATCTTTCCCTCTGTCACCTATTTCCTTCTGGCACTTGTAAAGCAGTCTCAATTGCATGTGCTACAGCACAGCTGTGCAGAAGTGGGGAACAATGTTCTCAGAAAGGTCTGATGATCATATAGACTTGGTGACATATCATGTGACCCAAAGCACAGTTCTTAGGAAAAGACCTAGCCAGTTGTCTGGGATCCACATATGCTATTAGAGCACAAACACATGTTATCCCATACCTGGAAAAACATCACATTTCTGTGAGAAGGAAGTAATTCTTCGCTGAGCATCCATGTATACACGATCTGTACATTCACCAATATCCTAGTTTTTAAAAAGAATTTAAATGCATAACTTAAAAACATTTTTAAGAAACTTTAATGTAGACAACTAGTAAAATTAAATATATGATGTCAATTAAGCATAGAAAACCAAACAAAATGTAGTCCTATTACAAAGGAGAGAATAAGAAACACTTAGGTATTAGCATCAATAACAATAAGTGCATATACACAAGCACATGGAAACATGAAATAAGATGACATGAATACCTAATATAGAAATAATCATATAATTGAGTGGATAAAAAATTTTTTTTAAAGGTATAGACTTCAGGTTATATTAAAGACAAAATTGATGTACTACATATTCAAGAATAATATCTTGTAATATAAAAGATAAAGGAAGATTAAACATAACAGGTGAGCAAAGCTTTACAAGGCAAATACAAAGAAAAAATCTAGAGTATTATTAATATTGGACAAAGTAAAATTCAAGGTAACAAAATAATTATGATGGTAGTAAAAAAGACAGTTCTATTTTTATAAAAGTTGTAGTCTAAAACCATGAAGTCAAAGTACAGAAAGAAGATATATGAATATGATGCATGATATAGATATATGAATAGAAATAGATTAAAGTAATGGTGGTGGGAAAATTTAATATGTAACTATAAACCTAAGGCAGACTAAGTAATAAAAAATAAATAAAATCATAGAAGACTGGAGCAACATAATAATTTATTTAAATGGTATTTTCATATGCTACATATGATTTAAATGATATTTTTATAAGTATGATACAGATATTTTCAATTGCTCTCCCATCAGGTCACAATAAAGGCTCAATCGATTTTTAAATCAAAGACAATACAGGACAAGTACTTAGACCTCAGAGCCAAAAGAAAGAAAATATCCTTTGGAAATATAAATACACTTGCCTAATAGTGTCTTCCTTAAATGAGGAAAAATATTTAAAAAAAAACAAAACAAGAAAATACGAATTTTTAAAAACGTCAGAGCAGCATTTAGAGTTTAATCATCACTTTATATGCTTTTGTAATTTAAAAAGGGACAGGCAAAAATAAAATATAAAATATAAAGAGAGAGGCAAGAAACAAATAAAAGAACCTCAAATCTAGGTGTTTATCTCTAGAAGTTAGAAAAGGAAAAGAAGATAAAAAGTCTTAAGCAAAACAAATAGGAGAAAACAATAAAGCAAAACTCAAGAACTTGAAAACAGAAAGCACTAGCATTAATAAATAATCCACATGATTATTCTTGGGGTAAGGAAAAAAATATCAAATGCAGAAAAGGCAACATAGCAAAGCTTTCAGAGAAGTATAACAATATAAGAGAATAATTATGAACAGTCTATGCTAATTTAAATCCCCCCCAAGTGATACTTTTCTGGAAAATTATAAATAACCAACACTGATTTAAAAACAGGAACAAAACTCAACACCAAAAGCACCAACAATCCAATTAAAAATGGGCAAAGGACATAAGTAGACACTTCTCCAAAGAGGACATAGAGATGGCCAATAGACATATGAAAAGATGCTCGGTGTCACTAGTCATCAGACCATCTCACACTGGTCAGAGTGGCTATCATCAATTAATCAACAATAATCAAGGTTTGTGAGAATGTGGAGAAAAGGGAGCCCTTGTGCACTATCAGCAGGAATGCAAATTGGTGCAGCCACTATGAAAAGCAGTATGGAGTTACCTCAAAAAATTAAAAATGAAACTGTTTCATGACCCAGCGATTTCACTTCTGGGAATTCATCTAAAGAAACCCAAAACACTAATTAAAAAAAAATATATGTACTCCTATGTTCATTGCAGTGTTAATTACAATAGCCAAGATTTGGAAGCAGCCCAAGTATCCATAGTAGGTGTGTAGATAAAACAGCTATGGTACATTTATACAATGGAATGCTACTTGGCCTTAAAAAGAAGAGAATTTTACCCTTTGCAACAGCATGAATGGACCCGGTCAGCATTATGCTAAGTGAAATAAGCCGGTCAGACATATACATATGATTCATTGGATTCCATATGATTCACATAATTCATTGGATTCCATATATAATTTCTCTCGTAAGTGGAATCCAATGAACAAACTGAACTAACAAGCTCTGGGAAGGGGGTTGAGGGGATAGAGAGATTGAGCAAAAAAAAAAAAAGAGACAGAGAAAGAACTCATGGACAAAGGCAACAGTGTGGTGACTACAGAGGTCGAGTGGATGGAGGTGGAAGAGGTTATAGGAGAATAAATGGTCATGGAAAAAAATAAAATTATATAAAATAAAAAAGTTAAATGGCCCAATTACTAAAGAACTAGAAAATGCTATCATTATTTTCAACTCCCTTTCCTCTTCTCACCTCCAAACAACATAGATGTTTTATAGATGAATAATCTTTAACATTAAAGAAACATATAGTTCCATGCCTCATAAACTGTCTGAATACAGAAAATAGTGGCAAACTGCTGAACTCAAAAACAGAACGCAGCAGGAAAAGACCAAGACCAACTATGACATTCACTGACTCCATGAACGAAGTCATAGAAATAGCTACAGGCCCTCAGCAGAGCTGCTGAGGTCAGGACAGTGTGGCCACCACTCATTCGTAGGGTCACCAGGGATCAGAGTGGACTCAGCTGTGACTCACACCCAACTCATTCTATAAAACTATAATCTGAATAGCAGAACTTGAAAAAACAGAATGCATGCACACACACCCAGAAAACTGTCAAACCATTTTTACTTATAAACATAGATGTGGAATTCATAAATAGACTAGAAATAAAATCCAAATGCATATTTAAGAAATAATTAACTCTCCTGTACCTCCCAGTCTCCTGACACTGGGAGTTTCTCCCACCACTGTAACCCCCATAGATTTTAATAGCCAGAGGCTTTTCCCACACTGGAACCCTGGGTTTCATGGTCTGCCTCATTCCCCTGTTTTTCCTCCTGAGTTATCCACACACAGATGTGGGACCACTAGCCTCCATCTTGCCTGCCTGGTCCTCCAGCCACCACCTTGCTGCACGACGTCTCCGCCGTGGCTGCCTGTCTTCGCCCCTCCTACCAATCTGAATGAATGTTTCCTCTTTAACTCCTTGGTGTTGGATTTCCATACAGTTTGATTTTTCTGGCAGTTCTGTTTTTTTGTTTATTTGTTTTTTTTTAATTTGTTGTTGTCCTTCTCTTGGTTGTGCGAGGAGGCTAAGTGTATCTACCTATGTCTCCATCTTGGTCAGAAGTATAACAGGAGGTGTTGATAGAAGACTTGATTGACTCAAAATAACAAAGTTAAATAGTAGCTAAAGCATATATATATTTTTTTAGCATTTTTCTCTTTCTCTCCTTTTTTACTACTTTTTTATTATGGAAAATATATGTAACATAAACATTGCACTCCCCTGATAGCATTCTTTCATGTGCTTATTGGCCATTTATCTTCTTTTAAAAATTAAAAAAAAAATTTAATGCTCACCCAGGGATATGTTTATTGATTTAGAGAGAGAAGAAGGCACAGAGAGAGAGAGAGAGAGAAGCTGAGAGAGAGAGAGAGAGAAGCACTGATGTGAGAGAGAAACACTGATTGTTTTCCTCCCATAGATGCCCCAACCAAGGGTCAAACCTGTAACCGAGGTATGTGCCCTAAGTGGGGATCAAATTGGCAGCATTTTGGTTTATGGGACTGTGCTCCAACCAGCTGAGTCACCCAGCCAGGGCTGTATACATCTTTAAGAGAAAAGTTTATTTTTAAGTCCTTTGCCCATGTGAAAATTAGGCTGTCTTTTTGTTATTGCATTGTAGGGGTTCTTTTTATACTTAGCATATTAAATCCTTATCAGATATTCCATAACCCGATTTCTCCATTTTGTAGGTTGTCTTTTCATTCTCTTAATAGTCTTTTTTTTAAGTTTTTTTTCCAGTTATGAAGTAAATGCATGCATGATTAGAAACACTGGCAAGTATTAAAGAGTTCCAAAAAATACAAAGAATAAAAAAAAAGGCACCCATGGTTCCAACTGAAAACTAACTATGCTTCATATTTTGGCATATTTTTTCCATCACTTAAAAATTTTTTGTAAGAGTTTATTTGAGCCAAAATAACAACAATTGATGGAGAGCAAGATGTCAGATGCTCCCCTGCATCTCTTTTCATTTTACATTTACTTTATATATTTGAATGAATCTGTATGTATAGTTTTGAATTCTATTTTTTGTGTTTTACTTAATATATTATAACCATTTTACTAAGTCACTAAGAATCTGTAAACATAATTTTAATGATTTCACATATTCTACTGTATAGATACACAGTAATTTATTTAAACAGTCCCTAATGTTGAAAAAAGTTATTTCCAAAGTTGTTCTATTAGTAATGCTGAAATTAACATCTTACTGTCCAGATATCTCATTTTCTTCCCATATAATCGAGTTTTAGAAGTAGAATAATGGACTACAGTGCTCGCAGCAATCTCTTGCTTAAAGCACAGCCTTCTATAAAGTGCAAATATTCCTGGAAAGGTCATCATGCTTTAGTCATCGGAACAGGCACTAACTACTCTTTTAACGTAATTTTGGAACTGATAACAAGATATAATCCTAAAAAGTGATAGAGGCTCAGGATGTCTTTATTAAAGGTAAAGGAAGGCGGGGGGAAAGTAAACAAACAGAGATAAGGCCAACGTTAGGGATTGTCCTGCGTAGAGCTCAGGAGCACAGGGAGGACGCTGAGCACAGGGGGATGAAAGGGAGACAGGAGAGTGTGAACACAGGAACAGACAAACTTGGCATGGCATCATTTCATCTCAGGCCCTGGGTGCATCTGTAAATGCTTATTGCAGGATATACAAGACTTTTTGACCAGGTGGGTAAGGCAACTGGACCAGTAACACAGTGAATGTGACTGAATTCATGAATGTCATCTAAAATTTTAGTGACCAAGTCCTCCTATATGGCTGAGTATTCCCACTCCATTTGAACACCAAAGGCTAATAGCTTTATGATTAGATTTTGGCCTACTTACACCATTGAGAAGGAACTTGCAGTCTGGAGTTAAGAACAGAAAATTCTCTCTGGAACAATTAGTTTGTTCAATTGTGTAAGTAACTTTATAGTTCCATCCAATTACCATCTGAAACAATTTTGAATTGAATAGTTAGAACACAGTTTAAACATTATTCAGTGTTATGAGGAGCTTAGAATACTGCCAGGCATATCACATGTACATAAAAATATAAATTATTATTTTATATTAAAATTATTTATTTATAGAGAGGGGGAGGAAGGGAAAAAGTAAGGGAGAGAAACACTGATGCTTGAGAGAAACATCAATTGGTTGCCTCTCACATGCCCCCCAACTGGGGACCTGGTCGGCAACCAAGGCATGTGCCCTGACCAGGAATCAAACTGTTGACCTTTCCATTTCTGGGATGACACTCAACCCACTGAGTCACACCAGTTAGGGCTATAAACTATTATTACTAGGCAAAAGTCTGACTGAATAAATATTAAGCACTTTATGACTCTCATACCTTTCAACACACACACACACACACACACACACACATACACACACACACACACTCCTACACACCTGAAAATGAAAAGAAATATATAGGTGAAATTACTGTATTTCCTTAATTAATTCCCAACAATATTTCCTCTGCCAGACAGCAGAAAAATAATGTCCTATGGAATTTTGTGAAATATTAATAATGCTCTTCTAGATGGTTAAAGAAAACTTCAGAGCTTTAATGGTCCTTACTGGTAGATTCTCAGGTTCCCAGATTGTCAGGCAATAAGTTTTCTGCTTTTTCGTGGTCTAGCCCTACATGGATAGCTGAATATAAACATAATGGAGCAGAACATGTGTCTTGCATGAAGGCAAGTTGGAAGGTCTATTAAAAGCAGAGAATGTTACTGACCAAAGTGATTCCCTCATAATTAGACGCTGAAATACAAGAGATACAGAAACACTTAATGAACAGAGTCAATGAAAAAACCAGATTTACAAGTATTGACATTTTTTTTCTGAAGATATGAAAACTATACTTCAGAGGGTACTCATAAATCTGTGCCAACCTTTTGGGGTACTGTTTAATATTTTGGAGCCATGTTTGACTCATATAGCTAGGTGATGATGTAGTTTTCTTAAAACCTTAAGGCCAGGCTTGGCTGGTGTGCTTCAGTTGTTTGGAGCGTCATCCATATACAGAAAAATTGGGTGTTCCACTCCCAATCAGGGCACATACCTAGGCTGTAGGTTCAGTCCCCAGTCGGGGTTCATGGAAGAAGCAACCAAGTGACGTTTTTCACTCACATCATTGTTTCTGTCCCTATCCGTTTCCTTCTCTCCCCACCCCCCTCTAAAATCCATAAGAATATCCTTGGAGGATGAAATAAACCAACCAACCAACAAACAAATAAATACTTTTAAAAATCCCTTAGGGCCTGAAAGATCTTTTCATTTCACCATCTCCAAGAAGTATATGTAATGCTAACTACCCATATATTAAAAGCAATCCCAGAGCAAGGGGTCTCATCAGCCCTGCATTCCTCCTTTACCTATTGCAGTATCTGAATCACTTTGATTATAGAGAAAGCTCTTTCTTTGCCCCCTCTGTTCTCTCACCACCAGCCATGGAATCATAAGTTTTCTTTTGACCAATGGTGTATTTCAAGTAATTAAACCTTAAACATAAAGATCTAACAAATTTTAACAATTCTGTGCAAAATAAAAACAAAGAACAAACCTGTTTCTCGGCCCTTTTTACTTCTTTAAGAGCAAAGAGGTGAGAACGATCAGTGTGGTTGTTGAAATGTTGAATGGCATGTCTCAGGACGGGTTCCAAGTCAGGGCTGGTAGTTGCTATGGGGTGCACACAGCCAAAGCATTCATACTGAGATGTCACCATGGGGCCAGCGCCTTGACAAGGGAAGAGTAGGCAAAAGGGCAACATTAACGAACAAAACCCCCGTTCAGATACATTGCTCTAAATAAGTAACATAACTTCAATGGCCCTAGTAAACAAAATTTCTAATAAATTCTAGTATGCATTAGAAAAAGAGAACATAAGCCTACTTTTTAATCCGTCAGAGGAGAAACCCTATCATTGACTTAGAGACATCCTGCATGCATAATATGGTGCATAATTATTTTATGCACAAAAATAATTATTGTGAATAAACATAATTATATAATTATGATATTATTAATTATAATTATTATAGTTATATAATTATATATTTAATCATATTATATAGTATATTTAAAATATACTATATAATATACTTAAATGCATATATTTATCTATTATATAATATAACATGTTTATATTATATATAGATACTTATTATATATAAATATATTATACAGTTATTATATAATAGCATAATTATTAATTATTATAAAAATTACCTTATATTATAATTATATAATTATTATATTATATTATTATTTATTATAATTATGATATTATACTATTATTGTGCATAAAATAATAAAATTATTTTAAATGTATTTAAAGGTCATAGTAAATTATAGAAATAATACATGAATTTTATAAAATTATAAAAAAGTATATTGAATAGTTGTGTTCAACTATTTGTAAACTTATAAAAAAGTAAAACTTTACACATATATGATTATATTTCAGTGTTAATTTAATCTCCTTGATGCCTTGTTCAGGGTTTAATATGTTTTGTGTCAACTCAGTTGAACAAACGTGTCCATATCTTGCACACGCTGTAATATGCCAGGTGCTGAGCCAGGCTACACGGACACGTTACTTCGTTAGTAATGGTCACTGTGGTGATGGGGTTGGGCAAAGCCCAGTGGGAGAGGTAGAACTGTAGATGGGCATTTCCAATATAATTCGGCAAGAGCTTGGAAAGACCGGGGCCCAGAGTGAATTCGGGACAGACTTTCCTGAGGAGGAAAGGCCTGCGCCAAGAAGGGTGAAAAGCCGACAAGGCCAGCTGGGCAGCAGGAGGCGCGGCGCCTGAGACGAAGGTACACAGGGCTCCCAGGTCAGCAGGGGCGGCAGTGTGGGACGTGCTGTGCACGCGCTTTACCAGAGCTTAAGGCGGGAAGCAGGGAGTGGTGACTGAGGTGGGGACAGTTAGCAGAGAGAGTCCTGTGCTGCTGAGCCTGGGCCTCACTCTGGAGGCAGGGGTGACACCCTGTTCCAAGGGTCACGGGCTCCTTGGGGAACCTGATGTAAGCTATGGCGCCCCCTCCAGGGAAATGCGGGCACGCGCAACGCTCTCCGCATGGTTTCAGGGGATGCATAGCCCCGCTGACCTGAATTAAGAATGGTCAGCGGTACCCGCGGGGTGCCTCTGAAGGGTTTTTTAATGAAATGGTAAATATTAAGACAGGAGTGAGTTTGCATTACGTTTCCAAGTCCTGTTTACAACTCCCCCTGCAACTGTCCCTTGGCCTTCACTGCCATAAGTCTGTGTGCCAGCTCTCCTCGCCGCTCCCCTGGCAGAAGCTATGCTGCATCGAGTTGGTGGGCAAAGTTAAAACACCGGAGGGCAATTGCATGGGAAGGGTGAAAGAATTTGTGACGGCAGAACAAAGGATCGATGATCACGGCAGGTGAAAAGCAAGACAGAGAAGAGAAGAGAAGAGAAGAGAGGCCGGTTTGCTGACCTCAAGGGCAGCTCTGACTGGGGTCAGAGAAGTGATGGAGCAGCCTTTTGAGAGTGAGAGGAGAAGGGACTGATGCAAATTCAGTTTTTCTGGGGGCTGATGATTTTCTACCCTGCCCAAACATTTCTACGGAAATTTTAAAAAATAAAAGGAAGATTAAGTTTTTAAATCAGAGATACGTTCAGCCAAAAAGGCTTCAGATAAGGGATTGTGGATCTAATAGTACTGTGGACTTAGAAGTTTCACGAAGCGCTTTTCCCTCATAGTATACAAGTGCTCTGCTCTGGATCATATGAAAACTTGCTTATGAGCTAGAGTTCTTAAACTGCATAATGAAAAGCTGCTGCAAAAATTAGTTTCTTTGTTTGTCATTTCTGGTTTTTTTTTCTTTCAATGCCACTTCTTGCAAGAACTGAAGCTCAGGGGATGATTGGTTTTTTGTAGGTTGCAAGCGGATGACTAAGAGAGGCTAGAGAAATTGCTCCTCCACTGATGTTCAAGAGTGACATTGGAGACACTGTCCTGGAGCCCCATACGCTGAAACCCTATCTTGCGGGAGGCTAGTTCTGAGCTTGCTTTTATGATCGACATTACCTAGATGTGCCCATTGTTCTGCACCCAGGCGCTCTGCCACCATACTTACAGGGTCTATATACCAACTCTGCTAAGGGCTAGCTGTGGGATCTTGGGCAAGGTACTTTACTGTCATGGGCCTCAGTTTCCACATCTGTAAAATGAGAATATTCACACTCGCCTCATAGTTCTGTGGTGAGGATTGAAGACGTCAGCATACGTGAGGTGATTAGAACTGTGGCTGGCAGTAAGTGCTCAATAAATGCCAGCTATATACTCTTATTCTGATTATCCTTAATGCATTATTGTGACTGTACCTGCAGGCCTATCCTCTGGCTCAGTCTACAACAGTCCTCTGTGGGGATCCCCCTTTATAGGTAAGGAAAAGGGAAACTGGAAGGGTTAAGAGCTTTTGAAAGATTTCAGGCCAGATCGGACTTCCAAGCCCGGCTCTTCCCTCTGGAGCATGCTGCCCACAATCGGTGGCAAGTGATATGTTTTCTAGTCCTTTCCCAGGGCTCTAGCATATGCTAATACAACGCCGCTCTCCAGGAAGTGGGTCAGGTTAGTGCTGAGGAGATAGATGACAGGCAGGAGCCTGGCCCCAGCCTCTGGCCTCTGCCACCCCCAGCCTCTAAACACCCACCAAGGCTGCAAATGGCATTGCTACAGCCACCCTGCTCCCTTGGGAAGGAGCTTTGTCTAGGTTATGCTCCTGGCCTCACAGGGAAATGGTTCATTTCCTTCAGGGCGGCTCCGCTGGATATGTCAGCTACCTGGAGTAATCTGGCAGGTCTGGCTGGCCACGGAGAATTTTGTATTTCCTCTTTTCCCCACGATCGTACTGCATTCTCCTGTGGCCTAAAAGCAAGGAAAATCAAAGAAGGAAGACCATTTATCTTAATCTTTCAATGGAGAAGTGCACCTAGTGCTGTTGCTCAGTGTGGCTTTCCTTTTACCTAGCACTTGTCAAGATTTTTTCCTAACAGAGTTTTGAGACATAAGGATGAATGTTTTGGTAGCCTAATCATTATTATTTACTAGACATTAATATTCATGGGGCATTGGGAGGAAAGGCAGTATACATGTCGGGGCTCTAATGTAATTTTATGTGTGGAGCTGTGGAGACACCTCTTTTTCACCAGGATGAACACAGTGTCCTAGAACCAGCCGGCTCCACTCTCCTCTTGACGTACATTTCAACCTCGGCATTCACGTGCACGCAGAGGGCAGGTGTTCTGACATTAACGGGGTGAGTCCGTGCACTGTGGAGAGCGCGGCTTGCTTCCTGGCAAAAACCATCTGCAGCCTCACTCACTTGCAGCGACACACATTTGTTAGGCTCTTGGTTAAGATAGCCATTGTTATCAGAATCAGGCCCTGTCATAATGGATCCCCTTTTGTCTTCCAACAACCGGATGAGGTCAGTTTTGCCTCCTTTTTACAAGGGAGCCCGTGGGTTCAGAGTGGTCAGCCAGTTGGAGGCCGAGCAGGACGGAAACTCAGGTCTGTGCAAATTAAGCACCCATGGTATCCCTCGCCAGCCTTCGATCTTAGCCCAGGATCCATCTGCCCACTGTCTGGGACCTGGCCCGTGTGCCCCAGTTGGTCAGTAGAGCCCCCTCCTCATGGGAAGTCTTTCTCTACACTTAATGTCTGGCCTCTCCATGCCCTTTCTGTCTGTGCAAGAACACAGACATCAAACATTTTGACTTTTCTTAGCACTTGAGGGTTTATGTGCACCCCGGCCCCCCTAAACACGCTCAGCACTACGCATCATCCCCAGCACTAGTGGAACAATCTGGCAGGCCCGCGGAGAGAACGGGAGGTTCCGGAGCCTGCACTTACAGCCTGCTCAGCTTCTTTGTAGTCACAGTCCTGCCAGGTTTTGCCGCTTTGAACAGGGCAGTTGCCCTCCTTGACTTGGTACTTGATGGAATAGAATAGCTTCTCTTCCATCTCCTGAAAAAAAGCCACCAAAGATACATAGGGTTTATCCAAATGACCAACAGCAAACCTTTTGAGTGGGATTGGTGCAATTATAATAGTTGGTATTGATTTAATTCAATCAGAACTAAACATTTATTAAAAATACTGAAAGTTCAAAATACTTGGAAGAATGTTCATAATATATTTATAAATATATATTTTTAACTCATGAAGTAGTTCTTAGTAATAGCCCATTTTTGTAGACACCAATTTATATATACATATGTGATTTTATTTAATAAATTTGAAAAGATTTTATTTATTTATTTTTAGAGAGTTGGGAGGGCTGGAAGAAAGAGAGAAGTGCAACATCGATTGGTTGCCTCTATAATCACCCCAACCAGGAACTAGCCCAGCACCCAGCCATGTGCCCTGACCTGAATTTGAATTGGTGACCTTCCCCATTGCAGGATGATGCCCAACAATTCCAGTCAGGACATTGTATATATATGATTTCAAAAGTCTGGAAAGTTATGAAGCAAAGCTGTTAAATGTTTGTCTCTCACTCTCTTCTTTAAACTAACATTTTTGTATTTGAATTATTTTTGAAAACGTATTTCCTTTACAATTAGAAAACAACCACACAAAAATGAGTACTTTTTCATTTTTGAAAAAAATGTCAAATTATCACTGATGGTGCAATTAGTTATGAGTGATTTTAATATTTTTATTTGCTTTGTTTTGTTTTCTACTTTTTTCTTGCATATCACAAAAGAATAAATTGAACTATTAAAGTTCAAAGGTTCTGAGTTGGATGAACATTCACATGCATGGTCCAGGCATGTTGCAGCAGCAAAGGACCTGAAAGGTGATGTTGTCCAGTCCCTCATGTCGCAGGCGAGAGAAAAGAGGCCCAGTTGATAGGATATAATAGCCTAGGCAGCCTCCCACCTAGGAAAGGCCAAGCCAGCCCAGATCCCGGGGCTCCTGAGTCCCAGGTAGTGTTCTCCCTGAGCCTGCGCTCCTCAGAGTATTTGCATCTGGCAGATGAGGGAGTCAAGCAGGATCATCTCTGAGGATCCTTCCCGGTCTCAGATTTCGATGAAGCACTAGGTGGCAGTGGTATGCATAGCAAAGTAAAGGCGACTTTGTGGACCCTTTAGAACAAAAGAACACATTTGCCATGGATGTCAGCCAATGAGGATGACACCATTAAATGTGGCTGAGGGCACCAGGGCTCACATGATGACACCAGTTTGTAAAACAGACTGGCTCAATTTCACTTTCAGGAAAAAGAAATGCCCACTGGGCTTTTTTCTTTCATCTCATCATGTCCAATGGCTGAATTTTTTCTTCCACCGAAATGATCTATCATAGAGACACAGTGGAATTCATTTAAACAAACTGCTAAAAGTTTGTATTTCGTTTTGTTAAACTTTGGTTTTGTTTTTTGCTTTTTCTTCAAAAGTAATTTGCTTTCTTTTGCAGCCACAAGGCAGATTTCTGGTTTCAAAATAGGATACATCAAGAACAAACATATCCCCCTCCCATACCATCCATCTTCATAGTCACCAATACAAGAAATCCTTCTGGAACAAAGCAAGTGACTAAACAGGTATCGAACCACTGAATCTACAAGTTAATACATAACCTGCGATGGCAGAAGACACAAGAATTTCCCCCAAAGAAAGATTTTAATTTTCCAAATATAACAGCGTCTAAGAGGATTCTATATGAATAAAGAAAAGTCGTTTATTCCTGGGTTGATGGCAAAGAGGGATAATTCACTGGCCTCTGAGGGAAGCTGAAACTCTTAACTAGTAAACAGATCCAAATTGAGAATTTCTACATTTCTTTAGAAAACAGAATCAGAATTCCTTTTTAGAAAACGAGGATCCTTGTGGAATGTCTTTACTTCCTATTTACCTAATGTTGTAACAGTGAAACAGACACTGGATGTGGGTGACAGCCCCACCACGCTGGACGCGGGACGTTCACACATAGGCTTTTGTTTAAAAGCTCAGTAGGTTGATTGACAAAGCCAGAGCAGCTTGTCATATGATCCTATTTGGTGCTTTTCCTCCCACGGTCCGAGATCATTATATGGATACAGCCGAGGACCGGGCCCCGACTTTCCGGAAAAGGAGCACAAAGAAAACTCAGGGCGGTGGTGGGGTCACCACGTCATCCGTGCTCTGGAACTGGAAACAGAAGGTGGCCCATGCAGACAGCCACGAGAGAAGGAGCTGGAGAAAGCTGATGGAGAGTGGCCCAATGTGTGAGCGAGAACACTGGGCTTGGGATGGCAAGGGCGCTGCACAGAGAGCATCCACGGGACCAAGTACTCATGTCCTTGCGGTGTCACTCCCTCAACGAGCTATTCTAAGGTGTCTAAGACACCCTAGTCCGTATGTGATAATAAATAGATGAGGTATGTAATAACTCAGTGTGCTGAGTATGCATCCGTTGTGTGGAATGAACCACCACAGAGAAAGATACGCACTACCAGGCACATTCTTTAAGTCTTCTTGTTTTGGATTTGATTTCTTTGTTTTCAAGGCTATCCAGCCTAACTCTTCTGAGGGATTTCCTTGAAGAGAAGAGTGGTCCACTGAGACTGTTTTGCTTAATCTTTCCTTTATCAAGGGATGATGATTGACTTTAAAGAAAAATAAAGTTAAAGGTTGCTTAATTTTCATTTTCCATATTAGTTGCACCATTGTGAATGTTTTCATATAAACAAACCCCCCCGAAACAACAACAAAAAATCCCTTCAATAGTTTTTGATGCATCCACTTGTTGTATCCTCGAGATGTTCCAGATGTTTCCAGGCAACTCAGTAGTTTATGGGCTGTTGATTTGCCCAAGGAGCAAAGGTCAAAATCAAGTTTTTTGTTTGGGATATGAAAGTGTCCAGTTTTCCCTATGGGATTCACGATCTGCACAATGTTTCTTTCTCTCCACATCATTAACCTTCTGTGAAGCTCTACCAGGCCACCTAGGTATGCCTGGTCACGTTCACCATTCTTTACTTGCTTATCTGATTTGCTTTGCCTACTGGACATTGCACTTCAAGAATCTGGTTGTTGTTGGTTTTCAATGAGGGTGGCAGGGGTTCATGACGGAGAGGGAAGAAGCAGAACTGCTTTCACTGTTGCTGCCATCGCTTCAGCTAACGCCTGGGCTTAGGCAGTCTCTTCTATTTGCAGGTCTCTCCATTCTGGAGTCATTGGCGTTATCCTCCCCCTCCCCGATTCCTCCCCATTTTCAGCATAACGCAGATCTTCCATGATAGACCTTAGAGGACCTTGCTGTCTCATCTGGGACTGTGTGGAGCTGCTGCTGGAGCTGGAGCTGGAGCTAGAACTGAAGCTGGAGTGGAACTAGCAGGACTGGGCTGTCCAGAGCTGGGCTCCAGCAGAGGGAAGGTGGCCCAGGCCAGACCAGAGCCACACAGGGATAGTCCGGGCCCGCGTCCCAGGGAGCGGGCTGTAGGGACAGCTGCCAAGCTCCTCCAGACCCCCATACCCAGCTGAGTCTTTCCACACACTGCCCATAGATCCTACCCCTCTGGGTCTGGAAGTGTGTATTCCTTGGAATCACACATCCTGCCAGGATTTATCTTCAACCTGAGTGTATGAACCAGTGATTGAAACAGTATTCAAACCCAACAGGCCATTGCTATTACCCTTGATATGTTCTGCAATTAGGACTTTTGCGCAGATATGTTGTCAAATTCAGGAAAACTATGTTAATCTCATGTGACTCCTCTGAGATGTACTTTGCTGCCCCTCATTTACCCCAGCTTTACTGTGGTATAATGGACAAATAAAAATTGTACGTGTTTAAGATGTATAAAAAGGTGATTCGATAGATGAACACATTGTGAAATGATTACCACAAATCAGCTAATGAACACATCATCACCTCACAAAATTGCCTGTTTTGTGCGTGTGGTGAGAACGCTCAAGGTCTAGCCTTTTGGCAAATTTCAGGTAAACAATACAGTATTAACAGCTCTAATAACCACGCCGTCCGTTAGATCCCCAGGACGGATTCACCTTGTACATGCAAGTCTGTTCCCTTGACCAACGTCTCCCCACTTCACCCACCCCAGAGCCCCTGGCAACCACCATTCTCTGTTTTGCTTCTGTAATTTTGACTTTTTTAAATTTTACATATAAGGAAATTACATAGTATTTGTTAGATGTACCCCCTTATTCACCCCCGCCTCGTTAGAGGTCTGAAGGTCTTTATGTTTTAGTCGGAGGCTGGTCACCCAGCAAATCCTGCTGCTAGGCCTGAGTCCGTGGATTCTCCAACTCTGCATAGCCCCTTGCAGATGACTCCGCTACCTTTCTGTCGGTTCACCCCAGGACACTTCTCATCTCATCACCCAGGAAGCCAGTCTCGGTAGCCTGAAGACTAGTCATGCCCTGCGTCCACCCCGAGCCCAGAGAGTGGGATTGGTGTTTTGTAAATGCTGTAAGCTTCTACTTTTGCTTACCAGTTCTTGGGTGATGTGTGTGTGTGTGTTTGTGTGCGCGTGCGCACACACACGCGCGCACGCATATACATCTGTGTGTGTTTCTCAGTTTTCAAATGACAGCACAAATCCCAAATGACCTCAAGGCTGAACACAGCTCACTCACCGTCTTGTTGACTTCAGTTATGCGATACAACACAAACTGGTTGCCACTTTCGCTTCTTCTGTTATATATCTTCAGAGCAGAGTCCACAGCCTTAAATACATCCTCATCATTGCAGTCCATTTCCTCCGAGTGGTACTCCTGGGTTAAACTTAGTAGCAGCTTGGAGCAAAGGAGAAGGATAGCAATTAACTTCATGATTGAACAGTCTCCTTCTAGTAGTTTCACCAATAATTGGGAGCTACTCTAGATGCTGATGTTAACTCTCTTCAGTCTCTTATTTACTCTGTCTGCCCTTTCTCTGCCTTAGCACCTCACAGGCCTCTTGGATTCCTGCTGCCACCCACTATTTGACTTAGTAGCAGAGGACAAATGGCTCTGCTGGCTTATCCAAGCAGATCTCTGGCTGGCACATTACAACACTGGGGTCAGTGACAACAGATGCTTGTTTGCATTTGGGAATCACGTGGGAGCACAGAACAAATTTCTGGGCAATTGCACAACTTTGTATAGCAAATCAGAACAGAAACTAATAAAGGAGGGGAAAACAACACCAACCCCATATTATTTTCTTTTCCAAATGAGTTTCCCAAAGCCATTTATGAGAGTCACTACATGTGACAACAATGCCACCATGTGCAGACACCTTTCCAAAAAAATGCCTTTGCACACCCAGGGAGCCCACGCACAGGGACATAGTGAGTGCAGGGAGTCCCACCCCAGGACATTGGCACAGCTAAGCGTAAAAAATGGGTATCCTGTCTGGTCTCTAGCCAAGCCAGCCTCTCCCCACTCAATTGGATTAGTTGTAGAAGGGAAAGTGCTCCCCAGAGTAGAGGAGATGGGGGAGGAGCATAAGGAGAGATGGGTTGAGGGAAGCCCGCTCACCCTGCCCTTCCTTCTCGTTCCTGGTTTGGTGGACATTAGGGGGGTCTTTTATTCACCAGCCTAAGTGACCTTTCTGATAAAGTTAGACTATTCAGGAAGAGGAGTCCAAGGTTAAAGATGAGGGCTAGCCCTTAGTAGATGTTTGTCCTCAAGTCTTACCCTCTTCCCCGTGCACAACGTGTTTGATTTCTTTGTTGTTGCTGATGGGGTCTCTAGCTTTGCTTCCTGAGAGCCCCTGGAAAAGTGGGGCTCAGTGGGGGCTGAATGATGGCCTTGTAGCAGAGTGGCAGATACATGAACTTGGCAGTAGGTCCAACCTGGACTCTAGTACAGCTCTGCTACTTAATTGCTATGTGATCCTGAGTCCGTCAGGGTCACATAGCTTTTCTGAGCCTCAGTTTCCGCATTTTGGAAATATGAAAAATTGTAATATCTTAAGGAAGGGTTTTCTTGAGGAGTAAAGGAGATAATGTATGTGCAGGGCCTGGCCATTACTTCTTAAAAATTTTGTCTAATATTAGTGTGGGATGGTTAAAGATTTCTGAGTTACTGAAGCAGACTCAGGTATGTGGCGATGGCAGAAGGGAGATTTTAGTGTGTGTTCAGGGGCAACGGGGGATGTAGGAAATAAAAGTAAGGGTGAAAGAGACTTGGGTATGCTCTTAGCCCGGGAAGAAAGAGACCCGCAGGGATGAAGACGCTGAGAGTGAGAGAGTGAGGAGATGACTGATGTGCTCGGTCCAGGAGGAGCCGGGAAGGAGCACAAGGCTGGTCACGCTGGGTGTTTCAAGTGGCAGTATATGCAGGCAGCAAAAAAAAAAAAAAAAAGAAAGAAAGAAAGAAAAAGGACAGCATGTGACTTTGGAGGCTGATCCGGTTCTAATTCCAGTCCCACAATTTACCGACCATAACAAACATTAAACATTCATACCCGTTTTAGCTATCGTGTTGGAAAAATTCTACACAAAGCAGCAATCAGTGGTAACTTGTCTAATCCTCTAGCACAGTGCCAGCTCCCTAGGGTCGTGCTTGTGTCTTACCCCGTTATTCACCCACAGCAACGGTGTCTGCATATTACAAATGCATTTAATTGAAGCGAATTGAGAATGTTCAATCTCATGTTTTCCAGGTAATATTTTCAGAAACTCAAGCGATATTTGTGAAAGTACTTTGTAAGTTATAAAACACTACTCACATGCTTCTGTGAGTTATTAAGCTATGTGTTTTTTTCCACGGGGGTTCCTGGATTTCACGTGTCCTTACCCTCTACCCAAGCAGCCCGCCCTGTGTTCACGCCTGGGGAAGGAATGTCGATTCTGCAGAGCCCACGTGCAGCTGCTGCACCCAGGTTGTTTACGGCTGGCGACTCTTCTGGCTGGTTGTTGTAGCTGCTCTGTGGGTCGGTGCTGGTGTCATATTGGTTAGTAAATGTTTTGGTGTCATCATGTGGCTCCAGGAAGGGAAGTCTAGGGAGGAAAGGGAAAAAGGCTGCCACCATCGCCGTGCTTTGGAGAAGGAAGGGGAGGCCCAAATAGGTTTAATAAATCTCTTAGGATCATGCAGTCAATGAATTGTAACAGTGGGCTTTAAACCCAGGTGGGCCTTCTCTGCAGTCACATTCTTTCCTACTTATTACACTACCTGAATACACAGCCAAGTTCTGTTTTCTTTCCAGTTTTACGAAGACATGATGGACATACATCACTGTATATGTATAAGTAAACAGCATGATGCTTTGATTTATATATATTACCTTTTATATTATTAGACATGGTAACAGCAACAAAAAAAACACCATATTTACTGAATTTTCTTACCTATTTTTGTTTACAGCATCATTTTATTAAAAGATATTCCTATATTATAATTATGGGAGTCAAATCAAAGGACATTAATATGGTTATGATATATGTTGCTTTAAAAATAAATTTTATATATTATATTTATAGCATGATTCCTTTTTTGGAATGCACATATAGACATTGTAAGAAAACATTTCTGGAAAGTTGTAACCAAAATTTCAACAGTATTTTCCTCTGGCTGGTAAGATTTCAAGTTTTTATTTTCTGCTTTATGTAATTCTGTATTTCTAAATTTTCTGCACTATACATTTAAATATGTACTATAAAATCATATATAAAAAGAAAGGATAAAGAACAATGAACAGTAAATTTCAACATTTAAATAAATATTTCAATGTGAATAGCCTCAATATTAGCCCTGTATTTGCCAGTCCTGTGTTCTGACTTTCATTTATTAATACTCAACTAGAATATGTAACTACCATAGAGTTGCCTTGGAGTGGATAAGATTTCAGAACCAAGTATTAGTAGATGTTCAAAACAGACTAAATGCAGGAGAGAGGTATCTGCTCATTAATCATCAGGACAACTCTGAACAAGTCACTGCCTGTATCTTTCTCCTTCTCTGGGTCCATCTCCTCCTCCTGGTCTGGATCACCTCCTTGTAGGATTCTAGACCCTTAGAGAAAGGTGGGCGACAGCTGCCACCTTGTCCTGCCCTCCCACCCAGCTCAGTAATCCGTCCCAGTATACCTCTGATTTCTAGCCTCTACTTAGGCACCTCCAGAGACGTGGAGCTCAGTTTTGGCAAACCTCCGAAATATTGCAGGTTCGGTTCCAGGCTACAGCCATAAAGCGATACAGCGAGTGTCACAGTAAAGTGAGGGTCGCAATCTTTTTGCTGGTGAAGGGTCTTGCCTTCAATTTGTATAAAACACAATGTCTGTGAAGTGCAATAGAGCCCAGCACAATGAAACAAAGTATCCCTGTACTTGTGCCTGAAGACCTTTTCCTCCTTTGTCTGCATAGGGAACTTCTACTCATTTTTCAACATTTAAATCAGGTGTGCTGTTTCTGTGAGGCCCATGAGGCACAGGCATCTGTGGTTGTAAGTGTGGACTCTGGTCTGAGAGACCTGGGTCCCATCCTTCCTCCTCTACTCACCACACTTGCTATGTGATCTTGGCCAGCTGATCTCACTTCCCTGAGCCTCAGTTTTCTTACCTGTGAAATGGGGGTCACCGATGTGGTCATGTGTATGGGACCTTCAGATGGAGTCTGGCACACAGCAAGTAAGCAAAAAAGGGTACCTGCTACTATTTGTCACTTCAGTGGCTTAGACCCTGACCTGCACATTAAACTTGCCCACAGCACTCTTGAGACACGACTTAATAGGTCTGGGGTGTTGCTCTGAGCAAGAGATTTTTTAAAAGTTGCCCAAGTGGTACTAAGGCATAGCCAGGTTGAGAACTCTCCACCAGCAGTTCTAAAACATGGCCCTTGGACGAACAAGCAGTGCTTACATCTCCTGGGAACTTGTTAGAAACTCACATTCCAGGGCCCTTCTACAGACTCACTGAATGAGAAATTCTGGAGATGGCCCCTAAATCTAGGTTTTAACAAGCCTTCCAGGAGATTTTGATGAATGCGAAAGTTTGTGCGCCACCACACTAGGTTATTAGCTAAGTGGGGGCATGAACTGTGTTTGTCATGTTCAGTGTCCTATTCCTAAGGCTTAACATTGTGCCATATGCTCAAATCGATTCAGTTTTCTGTTAAGTCATTGTGCCTCAGTCCTGGGAAAACAATGATGTAGGAGACAGGTCCTTGCCCTCTCAGCTTCTTACTGCATTCAGACTTGACGCTCTCATCTTGCTCTCACTGCCCTGTAAGCACACCTCTACATCCTTTTGTAACATTTATATATGTTTCTATATATCAGTATCCCCCACTAAACTAACGTCCTTAGGGCAGGAATAGCCTTTACTCATTTTCGTAGCAGATATTCTGAAGCATCTGCATTGCTGGGCTTGGTTCTGTATTCCAAAACAATGGAATGTGGTTCCCTGATGTAAATTGATAGGGGGGAAAATGTCGGCGTGGCAGTCAAAGTTTGATCAGGGGAGCACCAGCACGCACACTAGGAGTCTTAGAGTATAAGGGATTTATCTTAGGAATTAGACCTTATACGGGGGGTAGGAACTAGGGAAGGAAGAACCAGGGTAAAGAAGTTAGAGGATCAAAGAAAAGTTACTAATTGGCCTTCCTCAGGCATTGGTGCCTGTCAAGTTGAAGATTTTAGGGCAATCTGGACAAAGACATCCGGCTGCCAGAAGAACTGGGAAGGGGAGTTGGTGAGGGAACCTGCAGGAGGCTGTTGCCCTGGTACACCTTGTGTGGAGGTAGGTGCAGGTGGCCAGGAGTGGGAGAGAGCTACAGGAAAAAGAAGGAAGGATGAGGAAGGAAGGACAGGCTGGAGCCCTTAAGCACCTCTGCATCCTCACTCATGCATCCTAACCTGTGACTTCAGAAAGTAGTGGCTCTGCTTCATTCCATTTTCCTGATCACATACAAATGTCCCCTGTGAACAACTCTAATCTAGAACCACATAGGGAAAGGACTTCTTGGAAACGACTCCCATCTACCCAAGTTGACGCAGTAGTAAATTACCTATATGGTAAATATTGCTTACATGAAAAGC